GCAACAAGTTTCTCATTTTAAATGAGGAACCAGGATCATTTGAGCTTACCGTTCAAACATGAAAGGACCTGTTAAACAAAACAAGCCTGTGAACTCGAATTAGCTTGATTCGACTCATTTGATAAAAGTTAACGACCGAGTAAGGTTTGTTAAGGATAAAACATAGGAATTTTTATATAATTTTTATTTCTCAGCCCGTTAATACTGATACACAAGAGCCGAGCTCGAGCTTGGTAATAGGCTCATTTTGTTAACGAGGTCGAGCCAACGCCCTAGCAAAAGACCACTCCTAATTTCAGCAATTTCCATGGCAAAGCAACTCTTAATAAATCAGTAAACCTAATACTGAGATTAGCAAAAAAAACGAATGTGAAATATCGAATCTATAAAAGAATATAAGAACTACTTTCACAACAGAAAGCACTACACAATCATCAATTAGTCAATACTCTATAGTTCCAATAATTCCTCCTCCTTTTCTTATTTGACAACAATAATAATAGTATCATTCTAAATTGATACACAACATCAACTGTGATAAATGATAATAATAGCCAACCATGGACTCAAATACTTGGTTCAAAGTTAAAGAGCATCATCAAATCAACTCTTATAAATGCCAGAGGGATCGGCATTTTGTACAATCCATGGATGCTCGAGTACTTTGTGCAGAGGCAAGCGTCGCGAAGAATCCTTTACCAGCATCTATTGCATCAAAAGTAAAAAAGAAAGCAAAACTAAAAATAAAATCCCGCCACCAAGCTTCAAAAGTTGCCATATTGAGTAACTAAGCATTATTATACCTGACTTATAAGATCCTTTGCCGCTGAAGAGATTATTGGTCGTGGAGGAAATTTTAAGTCCACCTGGATAATCCTGCGGAGAAAGAACATTTCCAGATTGTACGTCAAATTTGGACATAGAATCAAGCCCACAAAATATTCCATGTCTTTGGAAAAATTGACTAAATTGTAGGCGAAAAAGTTGTATATAAACACCACATTTACCTTCTGTATGTGTCTGAATGCTTCTTTGCTTCAAAAGGAGGCATTCCATAGAGAAATTCATAGCACAGGACACCAAGGCTCCATATATCAACGTTTGCGTCATGCTCCACACTCTCCACTACAAAAATTAGCATTACAAACATGTTCAGAAATAAAATAATAATGATAATGATAATAATAAACGAGTCTTTCCAATGAGGGTGTTCAAAATTTAGAAAGATGGACACTTTCCTTAAAGAGAAATCATCAAAAGGTTAAAAACTTACCCATCTCAGGTGGTAGGTAATCAAGAGTGCCGCACATAGTTCGCCTGCGATTAAAAGTGTGCACTGACCAACCAAAATCTGCGATTTTGAGTTCACCCTGGCAATAATCGAAAGGCACCACAGACGAGGTCACACCACTTATTTTAATAATTTCACAAGCAAAAAGCCGACACAAAAACTAACCTGTGCCCCAACAAGAAGGTTCTCCGGCTTGATGTCTCGATGTATCACATGCTTCCCATGACAATATATAAGTGCCCGAGCTAATGATGCAATATACTGTTTCGTGTTCCAAAAGACAAACATATACCATAATTAGCTCTTATCAGCAAGCAGATCAGATCTTCAAGAAGCCAAAGTATATCATATGGGTTAACCACAGAAGTATTTTGTTAACAACTAGGTATAAAAATACACGGGAATCCTACGAACTGATATGTATTTTTCAGTTCTTACAAATAATCTAAAAAATAAAAAAAAATTACAATCGAACTGAAAAATAAATATCAGTTCGTAGGATTCCCGTGTATTTTTATACCTAGTTGTTAACAATCGCAAGAAGAATACGCCCCGTGTGGCAGCTAACGGTTTAGGCGTAACTTCCCCAAAGATACAACGGCAAACGTCTCTAAATCTGTAGCACACCAGATTTACGAGCTCCGGCGAACTGGAACGGAGTCGAGAATTGAGCACTTAAAAATATGAATAAAAATATCTCTCTTTTGTTATTTTGATAACAAACAAATATTCCTATATTTTTTCCTCTAATATTTTTATTCTTATAAAATTATTTTTGGACAAATTTTTTCTTTCTTTTCTTCCTCTTTCTTTCCTCTCTTTTTTCTTTTCGGTGTACTATATTTCTTGTGTCTTTTTCTCCTTCTTTCAACACACATATATATAGCACACATGAGGAATCAATTGTTGAGTTGGGTGTGAATTGGTTGAGTTGTCCACCAATTTTTATTTCTACACGCATTAGATTGATCAAAATATTTAAAATGATTGGGAAGTGGTTGTCCAAATTAATAAGTTGGTTTAACAACTTAATATATCTTAATTTATCACTCAATATTTTGGTTTAACAACTTAATATATCTTAATTTATCACTCAATATTCTAACATATTTGTAAACTCGAAATACATTCCATAAACTGGTAGCAACAAGATACAAACGAATTAGTAATAGGCTGGAACTTAGAGAGACGTACTGTAGCAGCACGTCTTTCACTGAAATATTTGCATTCTTGTAGCTGCTTGTAGAGTTCGCCCTTTGCAGCATATTCCAGAATCAAATAAACTCTTTTCTGCAGTTAATTTGATACATTTAGTCCAGCTAGCAGCATTTGGTTTCAAACTCTTTAACTAAAAAGAAAAGCCTCATACCTGATCGTAAAAGTAACCATAGAGTCGTAATATGTTCGGATGTCGAAGATGGCTCTGTATCTCCACTTCACGACGAAGCTGATGCTCAACCTGAGACGCTTTCAGCTGATCCTTGAACAATACCTTTAGTGCCACAATTTGTTTGCTCTGCTTGAAAAAAAAAAAAAAAAAAAAAAACTTCGCAATCAGACCCTTAAAAATTTCTCCCAACAATCACTTTTCTTCCCACAAGCAAATATAAGCAGATTTTACATCTCTCATCTCTCTAATTCCTTCACATATAATCAAGCAATTGACCTAAACCATCAAGAAAACCAAAGTATAGAAACTTCACGAAGGAAAGGCTCAGTTCAGATAATGGCTAACTTGACAATTATTCACATGACATATATACTCTGTTTATCATGCTATACACAATTCAAATTAACAAATTTGTTATGCTAATCATAACAAACAAGAACATAAAATAAAATGGATAAGATCACTAATTTGAGAAAACTGACCCTTTTTTCTCTAGCAACATACACATGTCCAAATTTCCCTCTGCCAAGAGGCTTCCCAACTTCAAAGTCGGCGATACTCCACCTCTTTTTCTCTGCTGCCGTGCTCTCGTTAGAATCCTATTAAAAAAAGACGAAAAAAAAGAAGAACATTTAGGTATCCGAACATAAAGACAAATACACCTACAGAGATTAAAGCACCGAGTTCTAAAAATGATGGCTTAGGGTGGTGAATCTACAGGTTTCAATTAAATACTTTTTGGATGCACCAAGCTCAAACTCGAACAACGATAAATGAAATTCTCCAAATTTCGTTCTTTTGTTGTTTGCAAGGTTCTTAATCCGGTGCAAAGATCACTCGAAGTTCTAATGCTGAATCGGAATTCTTCAACAAAATGCAGCAAAATTGAATCTTAAAAACACGTCAGCATAAAGAAAAATGGAAATTTCTATAATCAATTTCAAATTAACAAAAGAACGGAAAAAACTGGCAATCGAATTCATTCTTTAATCAATTTCAAGCATGAATATTGATGAAATCGGTGTTAGAGCACTAAAATGGCAGAAAAAAATATCCAATCCAAAACGAACAGCAAACAACGAACAGATGAGAAAACTTAGGATATTTCAGGATATCGGAAACAAAATCGAGAAAAAACCTAGATTTATCCAGCTTCTTGATTCTCTTACCTTGCGTTCTTGTTGAGACTCGGTGGCGATCGCCATTGCAGAGCAAAGCACGCACTCAGACGCTCAAATTGTGTGCGTGTGTGTGTGTGTGTGAGAGAGAGAGAGAGAGAGAGAGAGAGAGAGAGAGAGAGAGAGAAAAAAAGTGAAGCGAACGGTGGGTGTGGTGAGGATGTAATTCGAAATGGTTTTCTTTATTGGGATGAAGCTAACGGTCATATTTGAAATGCATATATTTACACGTGGCCCTGCCGCTTGTTTCGCTTTTCAAATTAATTTTTGGAATAATAATATTTTTTTTTTTCTATCAAATAAATAAATAAATAATGGGTCTCTAGGAGGAGCGTCTACTCTCTAAAAACATTGTCATATCCGTTATGTTATTAGGTACTTGAAATAATATTTCTTTTTCTTTCCTTTTTTTTTAATAGTAATATTGTCGGACTTGTAATTCTTCTTTTGGGTTTATGAAATTTTATTTCGTCTTTGGAATTGGTTGATTTGAAAGTCAAGTACATATAATTTGATAATCAAGTGCGACACTAATTTTACATATTTGAAATGACAAAAGGACCTTAGACAGACCAGTTTCATTTGAATATTGTCTATTTATGATCTTAATTGAAATGAGTACAGCTTAATTAAAATGTGTATAGTTTAAGTATCAAGTCGGGCAATCATATATTTTAGGTATCAAATTGACAAAATAACTCTAATTCAATTACCAAATAATCATAGGTTTTTCAAATATCAATACAAATAATCGTATACCTTAACAAATATAACAATTTTCGAAAATATTCAACAACTTATATTTGCCAATAATATGTTGTGTTTTCAACAAATGTTATTTTCATTTCTCAAATTCCATACCTACTCAGTGTTAAATAAATTGAGCTAGTCAAGTATATTTCAGTACACATATTTTTATACATAAGTATTAATTAATGTATGTTTGACATTAAACTTTCCACTATAAAATGATTTGTCAAAGAAACAATTTATCAAAAATTCATTAGAAATTAATTACCAAACAATTACTATTGACAATTATAGCCGTCTATCAATGATTTGTCAATTAGGCTATGTTAGTACTTAAACAATGGAAAATGCTACATTACTGATTTAGTGCACAACTGGGTTAACAACACCAGTGGAAACATTCACTTGTGTATTTTTTTTTTAATGTTTTCACTTGTATTGTCAACCTAGTAGTATACTAGGTTGGCAGTGTAGCATTTTTCTTAAACAATTGTGGAGAGTTATTTCTAAACCTAACTTGTTAGTTAGATAGGGTCTTAAAAGATAAATATTTTTGAAACAAAATATTAAATGATATCCAAGTCAAGGGATCTGACTCTTGGTTTTGGAGATCCTGGTTATGCGCTATAAATACTTTGAGTTTATGTTTGAGATATCAGGTAGGGGATGGTAACTCAATTCTAGTATGGGATACTCCCTGGGTGCCTAACAATTCAAACTTCAAACCCAATTGTTATTTTCAAGGAGATAGAGATAGGATTAAGAGGGTTAGTGAGTTAATAGTTCAGTAGACTAAGGTTTGGGATAGGGATTTAACTGTTCAGACTTTTATTCCTTTGAATGCATAAATGATTCTTAGTATTCTTATTAGTCAGTATGGTGGCAAAGATTTATTGGTTTGACATTGAAATATAAAAGGCTTTCTGACTGTCAAGGATAAGGAGGTGTATGAGACAATCAAGAAAACCAAGAAGAGGCTTGGGAAGGAGATTGGAACCAGTGATGATAATGTTGAGATAAAAAGAATGTGGAAAACTACTTGGAGATTGCTAAACCCAAGATCAAGCTCTTCAGATGGAGGTGTTGGCATGGTTTCTTAACTTATAAACTTCAGTGAAGAAGAGAATTGTGGACCTGAAACCTTTGTTCGATTTATGTGGTGAACAGGAGAAAAGCGAGCATATGTTAATACACTGTCCTAGAGCTAAAGTGTGCTGGAAACTGAGTGGACTTCAATGGAGATATCAAGAGGGCGTTAACACAAGCTTCCACTCTTCGTGGTTGGATGTCTGCTCAATTAATGAAAAGAAGGCCAAGACTGACATATTTAGCCTTTCAGTTTATGTGTTTTGGAGGATTTGGAAAAGTAGAAACTTATGGCTTTTCCACATAGAGAGGGAGAAAGAGAGGCAGTCACAACTTCTTCAGCAAGAGAAGAGTGGTTAGAATTCAAGAATTTACAAGAGGACTCAAAAATGCCAACAACACTTAACCAAAATCCAAGGAAAACTATTGTAGAAAAATTTTCTAAGGAGGTAGGACAAATTTGTTGTTTTGTCAGTGCCTCACTTTTTACAGGTAGCAATTTTGGTGTTGGTGGTGTTGTAGAAAAAATGGCCAAGAAGTATTCAGATGGTCTTCAGTGATGTCTGGCAAAGTGGATAAGGAGGAGGTGCTTCTTTTGGCAACCAGAAGTGTTCTTCAGAAACTCATGTCTCTACAAAAAGACAATGTGGTGTGTTGTTTACTTGATCTTCAAGTAACAAAGTTGCTGGAAAAGAAATATGAGTTTAGACATAATCTGAAGGTTATCATTTCAGATATTTTGTGGTTTGCTAATTCTGTTGTCATTTTTTCTTTTGTGTTTGATCTTGGGGTTTGTTGTGCTAGTTTAGAGTTAGCTTCTTTGGTTGTTCACGGGTTGTATGTTACAGTTCTAATTGTTGCTAGACTTGTATTTGTTAATACTAGCTGCGTAATATTTTATCCAGTTGATATCCGGTGTAAGACATTATTTGAGTTTGACAATATATTTCATAATCGAACAATGATAACCCAAGAGCAGCCTCAGGCCTAGGAATTAGAGGAATTTGCACCATTACTTCAACATTTTAAAAATATTATAATTATACACCTATTATATAAATATTTATATTATTACCAAAGTAAGCCTAAAATATTGTCAATATACCTAAGAGGTGGCCGTTTAAATTAGACCAAATAATTAAGGGAAAGTAGATAACTAAGAGAATGTTACAATATTTACGGGCAAATTAAATAGGTCACAATATCTCTCCAACATTCAATATCTTTGCAACAAAAGAAACCCACCGCCCACGTTCACCATATCCCAAGCAAAAAACCTCCTCTCATCGTTTTCCCAACCGTAAATCCAAAATCCCCAATTCCACTGAAAAGGAGAAATCGTCTGACACCGATTTCAAAGATGAAATTCAACCCGAAGACGTAGATAGCGAGGAATATTTGAGAAATCGGGAGTCGTCGGCGACTTCAGGTGGCATGCACCGAAGATGGTACAGCCCTTCGTCGGTGACGGAGTGTGAGTGATGCGAAAGAGATTAGAGATTTTTTTTTTATTTACCTAACAAAATTGTACATGATTTATATATTATTTTATTTTATTCTGCCTTTTGTGTTGGTAGTGGTAACATGTCCAGCAAAAAGTGGATCTCATTTTGACCCACCTGCAACTTGTTTAAGCCAAACGAACGAGATGAAGTTGGTGATAACGTCAACCAATTTAGCCCTTTTTTATTTTGATTTCTGTTTTTTTTTTTAAACCTGTTTGCCCTTTTTTTTGTTTTTTTTTTCTTTAACCTGCGGCAGGAGGCAATCGGCAGTATATGTTTTGGATGAAAAGCTTCTTAAAGGATAATTGTTGAACACTTGATATGCTTGATTCGTATATGTTGTGTATATATAGAGTATATGATCTGTATAATATAAGGGCTACTTTATATGTATGTATGGTTTATATTGACAAAGCATAAACTGATTTTTTTTTGTATATGTAGGGTTTATATTCAGTATATTTTCGGTATATGAGAAAGAAATTTATCGCGAGACATAATTTTTATGTATAAAATCTGTTTATATTTAGCATAAACTGATTTTTTTTGTTGGTGTTGTGTATATGTATGGTTTTATATTAAGCTGTTATAAATGTTTTTAAACTATATATATACTTTTATGTATAAAAGAAAAAAAGAGGAAGATACAATTTTTGATGGAAGACATTTTTTTCATTTTTCTTTTTTTTTTAGCATACGAGCAAAAAAGGAGAGTTCTTTTTTTTCAGCATACAAACACAAATCACAGACAAAAAAAGAAGGAGAGAAAATTTGATTGCTATGGTAACTAAATTAGACATTAAATCACGTGCAGAAAAAAAAGGAGAGAAAGTTGGATTGATATGGTAACTAAATTAGGCATTAATATAGTTAATTTTATCTTTTAGGTAAATATATAATTAATTTAATGGATAGGCATTAATATAGTTAATTTTATATTTTAGGTAAATATATAATTAATTTAATGGATGTGGTATTGTTGCAATATTCTTTTTATCTTGCAGGAGAGAGAAAAATTTCCCTAGGAATTATAGTTTCAAATTGACAATTACTTTCGAAACACAATTCTAGAATAAAAGGCCCGATAAATAAATAGAAGGCCTTGAATAAAGCCCAATAGGTTTTTATTTGGAAAATAAATAAGGAAGAAAAAAATAACAAAAAAAAAAAGAAAAATTAATAAAGCAGAACAGACTGAAACAGACTTATCCTCCACAGCTTCGGAGCTCAGCTCACAGTCCATCTCCAATCGGCGGCGGCCGGCATCCGGCTCGGTGGGCTTGGTTTCACGGTCTAAGATCCACAGAAGTAAGTTCCTTATTTCTAATTGTGTAAACCCAGTTGCCCAATTGACGAAATCCGAAATTCCCTTTGAATATATTTTATTTTGTTACAATGGTATGGAATTATAACTAGATATGCTAAAGTAATAGAAAAGCTCTTATTGATAGTTGTTTGAGCAGATTCTGGATGGTTAATTGCTTTGTTGGTATTGTGAAATCTGTGATGGATTATGAAAACGAGAGGTATTGGATTGAAATGGTTTTGATTTTAGTTTGCAGGATAATTAAATTTGATGTAATCTTATTTCATGCCTCCAAGATTTTCATGAAAATACATAAAATTATCTGATATCCAGTGAAAATCAAATCATCACAGAGAATGATTAGCAGGGCAGCTCTTCTTCTCGGAGCTACTCCCTCGGTTTTCAGCTTCGGAAAAAATTGTTATCCAAAGGCCTCTTTTCAAAATAAAAGGTTTTGGTCCGCAAGATCATCTTTGGAGCCCTCGGATGTTGCTCGTTTGGCTGAAACTGCTCGCATTTCCCTAACCCCTCAACAAGTATTGATTGCATTTTGAAGAAACTCATTTATATGTTAATTATGTTGCTTCAAGTTTAGTTTATGTTTTCGTATTTGAGCTTTTGCAGGTTGAGGAATTTGGTCCAAAGATTCGCCAAGTTGTAGACTGGTATCATCATCTCTTTCTCTCATTACTTCTTTCTTGTTTGTATACTCGTATTTCCCTAATCCATCAACAAGTATCTATAATTTGCTTCGGCTTGTGTTAAGCTAGTGAAGATAGTCTCCAGACAGCAACAATTTGATTATGGTGTGGTTTTCTTTGGTTGTCGTAATTCTTACGACTTTCACAGTGATGCCTTCTTTTACCATTTTGAGTTCTTCTTTCTGTGATTGCCTGTGCATTTTACCTTCGCAAGTGTACTAGATTTTCCAGTGTGCTGCCTAAGGGCTTGCTTGTTTACAAATATATTGGTATTTGATTTATTTTTTTTAATTTTTTTTTGTCTTTTTTGTTAACCAAGGTTAATTTTGAAAATTTTGGTACTGCTAGTTGTTAGTAGGATTTTAAGTTTGTATTGAAATAATATTTAAAATAAAATGAAAATTGATTTGATATAAAATTAAAAAGTAGGAGGTAGATGATTGGAAATGATAGGTAATTAAATTATATGAGTGAATGAATAGTAAATTAAAGTTAATGTGATATGTAAGGATGATTGATTGATATTATTTAATTATATTGATAATATTGAGAATAGTAGGGNGTGTTTGTGGCTGATTTGTGAATGTGGGAACAGGTTTGGACAACTTCAGGCGGTTGACCTTGAGAGTGTTGAACCAGCCCTTAGAGCAGGTGCTCTCGATTTTATTTTTTGCATCATAATGAAATTTAGATTTCTCATATTCTTTTGTTTCGGCTGAAAGGGTAGAGAAGTGATATTAGAATAATGAAAATACCTTTCGGTTTCTGATAAATGCTACAAATAAATTTGTGAGTTTGAAAAATAGCTGGGCTTTGACTAAATGTCCATAGTATTACTATATAACCAACCTTTCATTTTATTCCTTGGGATGTGAGATGGCATTGATGTCCTCTGTTAACCTGTAGATGAGGCCATCTTCTCTGAGATTATCTTTATGGGTTTTCTTTTTTGGATCTTCAGATACTGAGACCAGCAATTTGCGTAATGACGAGCCAGAAATTTTCAGAAATAGGTATTTGGTTGATTTTTATCCTGAGTAAATACAGCAAGTTAATTGATAATCTCTGTCTAAATCAACACACTCGTCTTATAGGGATGCCATAATAGCAGCCGTGCCCACCTACGACGAGCCTTATATAAAAGTTCCCAAAGTGCTCAACAAAGAATGATGCATAGTTTGGTATTATTTTTATCTACATATCTTCTTTCGGTCTGTTCACGATTCTTACATCCTCGTTTCGTTTAATATTTTGAGCATGTTCTTATTCATATATTGTTTATGTTATGTGGTGATTGAAGTCATGGTGCACACCGTTTTTAAGTTTTGGCGCCTGAATATTTAGTGCTATTCTGTAAATTGCAAATTCTGCAGGGTGGTCGGTCAATTGAGAATATGTTATATACATCTCTTATATAAATATAAATATTACGACTCATGTATTGTAATGTAGCTTTCTCGATCAGGTTTTGATTGTGTTTTTGTCGCATCATATGAACACATACATAGTTAGAGTAAACAGAATAAGATATGCTGTTCCTGTTTATTATAACAGCTTTTCACCATCATTGTTCTGCATTTAAGCACATGAAAATCATGAGTATTCTCCTCCATTCAAACATAGAAAGTAGTCTTTCCTATGGCTAGTCGACGTCAAATCTGACTTATTCCCTCTAAGATACTAAAAAGGAAAAGTGTAGAGGAAAAAGAGGAAGACAAAAGAATGAAAGACACTGGTTGTGTATTGTAAAATGCAATTGAGTCAAGTTGAGTCGACAAGGTGTCCAATATTTTTGTCTGTGCTTGAGCTCAATGAGCCATGTAAAATGTTGTTCGATCTCTACTCTAGAGAAAAATAAGTGTGCTCAAGATTGAATTAAAGCTTGAGCTTGGCTTGAATATGGTAAAGAAGGGAAAAATCCATCTTGCCACACACATTGGTGTGTGCACAGTGTCCACACGTGTAGAATTGAATTAGCCGTAGTAAAATTACACGTTGATTGTTCAATACAAGTTTTGTGTGTCCGTACTTTCTAAAGAGTTGATCGTCACCAGCTAATACTTGACTATAAATCGAGCTGTTGGATTATCAACAAACATATGTTTTAACAAAGCTTGTCGTTATCCAATAAAAAAGGTAGATCTTGAATCATCTTTCGGTACCAATAAAATATATTTATGATATTTTGCGTGGTTGAAAAATTTTGAAAGCACATATTAACGATTAAGGAGTACCTTTGAATTTAAATAAAAACAAAATCTCCAAGTAATAGAAAACATCACATGTACTGGAGGATGGGAACAACCTGCGTACAAACCACACCCACCTTGTGGATAAGATTTGAATGTGTGTGGAAAAGTCAAATGTCTCAAATATGAGATTTTTTTTTAAAGAAAAAAAAAAATGAAGTAAAGGAACATATGAGTGACATTCACGAGTCATGTGATGGAGATCTAAAACTAAACAAAGGACAAAGGGGTAATTAAGTTCTATCCAAATCCTTATTGCCACGCCATCACCCATCGCTTTCATCCGCTACACGCCACCGGACACGTGTAAACAGTTGGTCGCCTATGCTTATCGTATTCCGGCGACCGGCCGTACAGATATCAATTCTATTTTTCTTTATCACAGTTGGAATAAAAGCCAAGAGATAAAACAAAATGCTCTTCATGTGGCCAATCTAAATAGCTTCTAATCGAACCGAATTGACCTCCAAAATTGAAATTGTATCGATCTGAATTATCGCAATAGCTTCTAATTGAACCGAATTGAACTCAAAATTGAGCCTTTCCAATTTATTGTACGGGTTCAGGTATAGAACTTTTATGATTGATTATTTTCGGTTTATTTTTTAAGATTTTTAATTCTTCAAACCGAACTACCTATGATCAAGATGAGGTGAAAAAAGTACTACAACCCTTTCATTTTTAAATATTTAGATTTTTCAAAGAAAGGAAAAAAAGAACTGAAAAAACAGAAAAAGCTAACAAGTACGCACTACGTTCCAATTATTAATTTCAAGCTAATTTGTCTCATAAAGGCAAGGCTTTTTGGTAAATTTGGCACGACTGAACAGAAGTACTGTCTCAATTGAAGATTACTGGTCTTGGAAATCAAGCTCAATGAAGAATTAGTTACAGTTATAATTGTAAAATTTGTAAAGTCGTCTTATGAGTTGTTTTTTTCTTCTATTTAGTATAGTCACCATCTTTTTGTCCGCGTTTCTTATTTATCTAAATGACCAAAAAATTATTATTGGAGAAATGCAGTAATTTGATTCCAATTTTAATAATAATTAAAAAACAACAACAACAATAATAATAATAATAACAATAACATAGGAGGAGGATCTGGATAAAGTCAAAATATAAAGCATACTCATAAATTTAAATTGCTAAAGTGCAACTAATCCTTTCAATTTCTACACAATATGCATGACTATAATCTGCCTTTATTTAATTGAAGAGGACAATATTGATTAAAAAAAAAAAAAACAAAATAGAGACTTGTCTTCATGTACGTACAATTTTCAATTTTCTGAAGAAGGAACAAGAAGACTATAAATTACGTAGGCACTGTATTGTCTAATGGTCATAAATTATGATGGTCGGCCATTTTCCTAGAGAAGTTATTCGACATTTAATAGCATCTCCCCTAGTTCAAGCAATATGGGGTCAATTTAATGGTATAAATAGTTTAACACTATTATTGTGAATTATAATGCCACTCAATTAAACTTAGGAAGACAGGACTAGTTAGAACTAGCCTTGGGAGCATGTGTGTATAAACTTCATTCTTATCACTAATTCGTGTGAATCTGCAAAATAACTCTAACTTATCTATTATATATATTGTTTTATTAAAAAATCATACTTTATGTTACTAATATCATATTTTTATTCATTCGTTTTAAAAGTATGACTTTTACACTAAAATTTTACATATCTATTGAGAAAAATATAATTGTCTACCAATTACCTAACAATAAACTTAATATTTTCATTCCATCTGATAAAATATTTTTTATTTCTATATTTGTATTATTATACCTAGTGATTCAAATACCGTACTGTACCGGCCGATAATACCGAATATCGACTATTGGTACGATACAATTACAAACAAAATTCCGAATTTACGATTATACCGGTTTGTACGGGAATCATACCATAAATACCGAAAAATGTCGGTTCAAAATACCGGTCAATAAAAAAAATATTAATTTAAAAATATAAAATTTAAATTGATAGGTAAAATATTTTATTTTTATCTCATTGAGAAGTTGAAATTAAATGATTATGGTCATTTATTTTTATATTTTTTTGTATTTGGTATTATATATTTTTATGTACATTTATATATATGCTAGTCCGATAATACCACCGATATTACCGGTCCGACCGCTAATCTGCGTACAAGTGGCTAAACCGGTATGACCACCGGTAGGGTAGTTAAAACACTGATTATACCAGCACAATAAAAATAAAATTCTATTAGTACTACCATTTATTTTCCAACAATTGTAGTCACTCAATAACATATTTTTTAAATATTATGATATTTATTCTATTAATACTACCATTTATTTTCCAACAATTGTAGTCACTCAATAACATATTTTTTAAATATTATGATATTAAATTTGATATGATAATTTTAAATTAAATATAGCTTATTTTAGCAATATTGTTTTTTTCAAAACTACTTGTTTAAAGTTGTTCCACACTTTTGTTGGTTTATCAATTTCGAGGCACGTAGCATTTTGTTGGTTTATCACACTCTCTCTCCTTTGTAAGTTCTAGTGACTGCTAAGGTTAAAAAAGTACGAACAAATGATGCGACACAAATTTTAAACTATAGAATTCACTTTGATTTGGCATGTTCGTCTAATTCTTTTAGCCCACTTGTCAACTGGCGAGCAAGGCCCGGAAAATCAATAATTGAAAATTTTAACAAAAGGTCCACGTAAAGGCGGTAGAAATTAATTTTAACCTGACCATGGTTAGTTCGAACCCCACAACCATGGTTAGAAAACCAGTTTATATCACAACCCCAGCATGCAAATCCACGGCGACCACGACAGTACTGCGCCATTAAAGAGTGAGGAGCAATAAAAAAATAAAAATAAATAAAAAAAGAGAGAGAGTAAGAGAGTGTACTAACATTCTGCAGAAAAGAGAAATGATGATGATGATGGGTGATCAGCTCCGTTCAAATCCGACCGTCCAGATCCCGCCTTGGGATTACCATAACGCCGAAGATCCGACGGCCCACGCCCACTGCGAGAGGGCAATGGCGGCGCTGCAGCGCTACCTGCCGTCGAACAGGGACGACGATGGGGACACGGCGGCGGGAGACGCCGCCGACGAGTTCGACGTCCCGGCGGATGCCTTCTCGTGCGACGAGTTCCGTATGTTCGAGTTCAAGGTGCGGCCGTGCGCCGTCGCGAGGTCGCACGACTGGACCGAGTGCCCGTTCGCGCACCCCGGCGAGAAGGCGCGGCGCAGGGACCCGCGGAGGCACCGCTACTCCGGCGACTCGTGCCCCGACTTCCGGAGGGGGGAGTGTCGGAGGGGCGACGCGTGCGAGCACGCGCACGGCGTGTTCGAGGCGTGGCTCCACCCGGCGCGCTACCGCACGCAGCCGTGCAAGGACGGGACCCACTGCCGGCGGCGCGTGTGCTTCTTCGCCCACACGCCGGGGCAGCTCCGCCTCCTGCCCCGCTCCCACGGCAGCCCCGAGCCCTCGCCGCCGGTCTCCCCCGGCGGGTCGCCGGGGTGGGACTCGGTGAGTCAGCTCGCCGAGTCGATGCGCGGCCTGCAGCTCAGCAAGATGAGGCTGGGTTTGAGCGGCGGGATGAGCTTGTGCGGGAGCCCGCCCTCGTGGGCCGGACTGGGAATCGGGTCGCCCCGGAGCCCGCCTGTCATCCGGCCCGGGTTCATGAGTCTTCCCAGCACTCCGATTCGGGTGCGGGGCCAGGGCCGGGTCGGAGCCAGCCCGTTCGATGCTTGGGGAGCTTCACTTGAGGAGGAACCGGCGATGGAGAGAGTGGAATCCGGAAAAGAGCTGCGTGAAAAGATCTACGCCAAAATCGGTAAGGAGAACTCGTTGGAGCGAGTTGATCGGGTCGACCCGACAGGTAATGCGGGTCCAGATCTTGAATGGGTTTCGGAGCTAGTCGAATGGTAATGGTTCTCGGGTTTTGCATTAGGGTAGAAATGGCGTAGCCCGTTTTTTTTTATGACCCGAATATTTTGCTGACTATGATTTTGTGAATATGGTTTCTGACTCTCCATTGAATTTGAAGCTGCTGGGTAGATACGGATAATCGGGATCCGGTTGGTGGGTGGGCCGATTGAATTATCTGCTGTCTTGTTGTTTTGGTCATTTTTTACTGTCTTGTGTTGAAAAAGAAATGGAAGGTAATTTTCTAGCAGCCAAAAAAAGAAAAGGTAACAAATTGAGGCTGCTTTGTAATTTTTGTACATGAATGATGGCTTGGAATGTAATTCGGGCTGCGTGCTTCTATTGAAATTATGTAATTGGATCTACTTAAATATTTTCTTTTTCATAATTATTTATCTTCTAATTTTGTTATTGCGGGGTTATTGAATTGAATTTTATTTAAACAGTAATTCTTTTTAATTTTGGCAATTTAAAAACATTATTTAAAACAAATGATGCATATAAGAGATCGGTGAACAACTTTTGTGGCGGTTTCTCCCCCCCTGGGTGTTGAAATCCTGGAGTTCAATCTAGATCAAGTATTACCTCCTCGCTAGATCTGTTTATGCAGTAGAGTTTCGCAATTTTGGGGTCTGGGGTTCAATTGGTTGTTCTTTTGGGTTTTGGTACTATTGATGTGGCTCGTGTGCCAGTTTGAGTAGTCTTACGGTTGGCTTGCTAGGTGTAGGTGTAGAGAGGTAATTCTAAAGAGGTTTTATTTAGACTTTGTTATAGTTTCAATAGTGTCTGTTGACACATCGGTTGTACTCTTTGAATTTTCAATTATTAATATAATTGTCGTTTGAAAGAAAAAAACAATATTTACAGTAGTATTATTATTTCATGTGATTTACAACATCAATAAAACAATTATTTTTACTCATCGCTAAAAATTTGTAAAAGATATTGAAAGGCTCCTACGGAACTGGTTCAGAGTAGGGGCCGATCAATTGCATTTATGGAATAGAGGTTAGAGTAGTAGATCTATTACATTCATAGAAACCCTAGTATTTTAGAGCTGAATATGGATTTTAGGACTTGGATCAGCAATTGTGCCGACCTTCTGTGTTATAATTTTAATTTGAATTCCTTGACTCGACTATAAGGTGATTCGAAAACATTATTGAGTTTAATTAATTTTATTTTATTTTTTTTATGGCAAAAACATCAAAATGTGGAGGTGAAATTTTTTATTTATTGAGTTTACGTCTTAATTTGCAACGATGATGATAATAATAATAATAATAATAATAATAATAAAATTAAATAAAAAAGTCAGAGTCTTAAATTGATAAAGTATAAAGTTGGATTTATTATAATTGAAACAAAAATTATAATGTTTTTTTTTTCAAAGAAGGCAAAAGGAATTAACCAAATTGGCAAACTTTCTAAAGCTGGTCATAGTTTTCCAAGCCATCTGATCATAAGCGCACACATGCATTCTTGCAAGTGTATTGATTTAACATTTTAAACCCGATGGAACTAATTCAAAGTCACTATGCCTAGAGTGGATCTAGAAATTTTGTTGAGTGTGGGTCAAAATCTATTATGAAGTTAACAAGAATTCAAATGAAAATGACATTTTAACATTTGTCCTTTTCATGTGTGAATCATGTTCATTTCAAAACAACATATATTGATTGCTAAAAATATAATTATCCTCCAAAACATTTTTTTTCCAAAATCATCAAAAACTTAAAATTTATTGATGTATTGACATGTATTTTTAGATAATCTTGATAATGATTTTCCATAGGCCATTTAGATACAATGAGTTAATATATTATAAAAAAGAGTAATAATTATGTTCCTAGATATGAACAATAACTAGTAACTAATTGGAACACAATATCAATTTTTAAAATGAATTATAAAACAAATTAGAATCTCTCTTATTATAATTGCAAAGATTCCTAAATCTACCTATTAACACCCACCCGTATAATACACATATGCTATAGCACTACTACTAGATAATATTGTTCAATTCACACATAATAAGACAATAAAAATTACATAAAAAAAATAAATAATAGAATAACAAGAAAAAGAAAGAAAGAAAGTGATGTAAATGTAATGCTAAAATGGTAATGAGGATTGTGAATGATTTGTTTTTGTTAATTTCAGTTCGTCCATGGAATTCAAAGCAACAAACTCTTAAATACAATAATATTCACTGGAGTAATTTGGTTTTGGATGGCAAATCCTTATATTTCCTCTAATAAACATTATATTCATCCAAAATTTGAGTGTGGGCCTAGGCCCGGCCACACACACTCACCTCCATTTGCATCCGCCCATGCCTAGAGATGTACAAGTAACTGAGACTAAACATACTTTGTAAACTCTTAAGTAGAGGTAATAAAATAAGTAGTATTATTATAATTTCAAGTGAATCTCGATATGGTTGCAGGTTTATGGAAATTTGGGATAGATGCTCCATGATGTTAATTTTTTTATAACAATGGGCTGGGAAAGAGGAATATGAATTTTTTAATTGTTTAACCTAGGGATAAGTCCTTCATCAGATGTTTATCATCAAAGGGTCCACGTAACATAATTAGGCCTTATCAAGATAAACCTTTTACTACCAAATCTAACTCGAAATAGCTTTTTTTTTTTTCAACTAACTCCAAATACCTTAGAATATAATTATTTATAAAAAGTATATAGACAAATTGCTGGCTTTCTAAGTTGACAGTGGGGCCCCCTGATATTTGTTTTCAACACACTAGATTCATAAAGATTGATCACATATCATATTATTGTCGTTCATTGAAAATTAATCCGTTCTATTGACATTCATAGCCATAAAGTATTAGTAGGTTCCTCTAATGCCTATAGTTTAGTAATACACCCCAAAATTTTAGAAGTGCACTCCCCAATTTTGATATCTACAATCGACGATAATTTATTTTAGAAAATAGATTAAATTTTCAGTGTTTGAGCATTAACGAGCTTAGTTAGTTCTGTTTATCAATTAAATGAGTTCAAGTCTGATTCAAATCTTAGTCAATCAAATTAAATTTAGTTCACGATCAACTTATTTTATTTGACAACTCTAATTATAATTATAACCAACTCATTGATTTAAATAATACTGACTGAGTTCGCAGATAAAGCTTAAAGAAAAGGCCGACAAAAGGGATGTTTTGATTCAATTAAAAAGTAGCTAGTAGTTGATGAACTTCTCAAACCATAAACCTAAAAAGCATCAATTTTAAAACTTACTCTGCTTTTTTCTTTCCGAAAATATGTGCCACCACTTAAACAAAAGATGAAAAAGAAAGAAAGAAGTCATTGAAGACTTGAATTGGACTAAGTACCAAGAAACCAAAACAGTCAGCATGAATGCCTCAAATGTAACTAGGATTACTGTAATATTTTCATAAATGTAATAGCAGTTCAATGTTAGTTGTAACTAACCCAAAATAAAAAAATAAAAAAAAAAATCTTTTTCACTCAGCATGAATGCCTTAAATCGCATGCTAGATATGAATATATGAATTGTTGAGAAACAAATAAAAGTGGGCCAAAAGGAAAATACCTCTTTGAAGGGCCATCTCCCCCTGCGAATCAGCAAGCTCGTGAACCTCACGGTTTAAAGCTGTTCCTCCAGCTCAGCTTCCTCGAGTCCTTCGGGCTCAGCCTCCAATTCATCCTTAAGGAAACGTGGAACTATTATAACCAACTCAGAAGGATAAAAAGCACTAGAAGGTGCAAGACTTGGAAATGAACGCCTTACCAAACATTAGGCAGCTGTACAGAGAAAGATAAACAGGTTTCATTCTCCAAGATGTTGTATATGTTGCTTGTAAAGCTTGTTCCTCTTCAAGCATTGAATTGTAACTATAAAACAGGGTTCAGTTCAATACTTCTTCAACGCTTTTCTAAGAATATCCGCAAATGCATAAAGATTGTACAGCACAGAGCAAAATAATTAGAGAAAAATTAGCACAGGTTGAAGTATAGTCGTAGAACAAAAAATGTTGACCGTACACTAATGTTAAGAAATAAGAGATTTCCAGGACATGAATGGGACTGCAGTGTAGTGTACCATTTGGTTCAATTTATGGAAGCAAAACAAGTGTACTTACCATGGCAAATCACTTAGTGCCAAACTAAATGATAGAGAGAGATCAGCACAACTGACGAATTATCTATAGAATTAGTCCAATCTAACGGGTAACCAAAATAATTCGTAAATAAATGAAAACATTTAGCATGAATCTGTCGTATTCTCTTGTATCAAGCATGATATGTAAACATATATGTAAAAGCAGAAGCCACTTAATTTGGTAATTTCTTACTTGGCACTGACAGATATGTATTCAGTGTACATACTAGAGAAGCAGTCTCTAATCTCTATATGCAGTTTACCTCCTCACAACCTGACAAGTACATAACAAAACTACTTGACAATAGACTACTTTGCTCAAACTTATATGCAAGAAAAACACTTCTCAGAAGTATGGAATATCAACATGCATGTGTGTCCTTGTGTACTACTCAAAATTTCATACCAAAACTGTGTCAACTACATTGCCATTTCAGATTTCGATAGCTAGTTAGCTACAAATATTGCTATAACAAACAGCAGAACCTCAGTAGATTGTTCTAATATGACTGGACCGGCCCAATAGAGAAAAACAACAAGTGACGATTTACAAGAAAGTATTAAATGAAACAAAAATAAAGTACTATATTCAATCAAGTATGGAGATGTCATCTATCATTTTGCAAGATAGACTTCAGAGAAATGATGTTAGGAGTAAGCAAATATTACATTGACAACTGACGTTTGATGCTGCCAGGAGGATGGCAAACTACAATGTCCCAGAGCAAAAAGGTGCATTCTGATTGCAATAGCAATTCCGGACAGCCCAAAACCTAACAGACTCTGTTCAACGTAATTTGATAGTATACCCTTCTTATTTTCAGCTTTAGGGAAAACCTTGACCTTCTCTTCTTCAGTAACCTTTTCTTTGAGAACATTCCTTTTTCCCCAGTATATCAAGAGTTCTACCAACCAAAGGCCAACATATATTCAGAAACTAAAACAGTATGTCATGAACCTGAGATAAGCTGATCAAGCGTTTAATACAGATGGAATGAGTATTATAATATGGAACTATGTGCCTGAACTTTGTTACTGGATCATCTTCTAAATTAATCACCACAATGGTTAGACAAAGGAGCATGTGGAACAAAATGGTATCATTTAATACTGACCAAATACACATAAAGTTACCATAATCGCTTGGTAGCTTATTTTTGGTCAATAGGACTGCAGGATCTGGAACCTGGAACATATGTGAAGTTCATGAAATATTGATGGTTCAACCGACAATGTACTAATACAAGATAACGACAGGTCATACAATCTAAATCCACTCCAAGTCACTGTCATGAACATTCAAATTTGTGGAAAACGCAATATGCGCATTGTAAATTCACCTGCGCTGATTCACCTTGTGATTACTTCTATTAAAACTCACCACCCAAAATGTTTTGATGCAGAGCTCCATTAGTATAGCCAATCTGACCTAACGCAAAGTTGCAAACAATAGCTTCATTTTGTTCGGAAATTAAAATTTAAGCTAGGTAAAAGCTCTTACTACCTAAACAGCACTCAAAAGCCAGACACAGCCCAGGCAAATGCAAAAGTTTAATGGATGAAAATGTTTTCAAGTATGTTATGCATACACTATATCTACTACATCACTATTCATCAGTATGTTAAACTAAAAATCCATATTTAGACCAACATACGAAACAATCCAAAAAGAAGAACATTACATTCATTAACATATCTGATATCACCATTAACAGACAGGAAACGTAAGAACTACAAACACACAGTTTAAGCAGGATCGGCACTTCAATGTGAACCTCAGAAAATCGTTGATTATTCATTTGTTCGGGGAAAAGAAACTTAATCTCTGCAACAAATTCCATTGATAACAACAGTTTTATCCATGGGCACCAACAACCAAATCATACGAAAAATCACAATAACAATTGATTTCAAGAAAAAATTAATATTATCAATAAATTATGCAGCTTCGGAAGTTTAAGCTCGCGATTTTACTGACCTGTGGAGTTCGATCAATGAGGCTCCGTGTTGCTTTTGCCGCCAAATGTTTTTGGGTTCGCTCGTTCCGTGTGTTTTCCAAACGATTGAAAGGGGTATTATATATTAATACAAGTTGGGAAAGGAATTGCGCGGGCTTTCTTATCTTTCGCATTTTGGCCAATATCCAGCATCGGGCTTGTGAGCTAAGGTAGAGCAACCGACCAGTAAAAATCGATCACGAGTTTCAGGACACTTGCTGGGTTTTTTCTTGTCTCTTTTCTCAAAATTTGGGCTTAATAACGGTTTTAGTCATGTTTAGTGTGAGATTTAAATTTTCAATCTTCATATTAAAATTTATTTATTGTGCAAATTTTTCTAATGAGTTGAAATTAAAACATAATGTATATGATTGTAATGTAATGTATTTATAAAATCAACATTTACCCTAATTATTGTTTGGTAGTTTTGTAGTTTTGCGTAGATCCACCTTATATATAATTGCAGAATGCGTTGAGCCTAAAGTAGTGTTGAAGGGGAGGGGAGAGTAAATTTTATATTTCACTTGTTTTGTTCAATTTTTCTAAGGGCAGAGAAAGGAAAATTATAGATTAAAATCCCTCCAACTCCCATCCAAAATTGGGAGGATTTGGAGGGGAAGGAAAATGTGAAGAAAATAAATTACTTTTATGTCCTTAATATTAGTATTATTTTATTGTTTTATCTCTTATATCATTAAGGATAAAATAGTCAATTCAACATTATTTTTCTTTCCCTTTCATTTTCTAATCAAACAATGTTTACCATTTTCCCTCATCTCCCCTCCTACAAAATCCCTCCAAACAAGGTAAAATTATTTTACATCATCTCCCCTCCCCTTCATTCTCTTCCATTAAAATCTCTCCCCTCCCTTTCTCTTCGTTGAACCAAACATACCCTAAGTGACAGTCTCGCATGCTCCGGATCCTACTTGGCGAAAAAACATACTTCGTAGTTTGGTTTGGATAAAATATAGTATTATTCTAAATCAATAATTTTATGTTCGAACATTCCAAAAATATTGAAAAACTAACTTGGTAATTTCATAATAGTTTGACTAATATAACCCTTAAGTTGTATGAGAACCTTTGGTAATGACATTGACTGACTAATATAACCTTGATATGTTTTGGAAGCTATCAATCGGCTTATTAATTTCCATGACAACCTCAAATTAGCCTAATAAAAACGTATATTTAATTTAAACAATTGTTGTTGTTATTATTGTTTAATTTTAAAAATAATTTTCTTAACAAGTACCCTTGTAGTACACGGGTATTTTACTAGTAATAGATTAATTCAATGAATCAAGAAAAAGCAAAAGTTAACGATAATAATATTTTTTTATTGTTAATTTTGTTATTTCAATTAACATATCATTATTAGTCGGATCAAATTACATCTAAAGGATTCATTTCTTCTTTTTTTTTTTCCAAACAAAGATCAATATATTAAAACTCAAAGCAAATTTCAACCGTATCTCAACTGAGAACAAAGATCAATATATTAAAACTCAAAGCAAATTTCAACCGTATCTCAACTGAGAACAACCTAACTTAATTATCTAGAGGACTAGACAAGCCAGAACCGGGCCTACACAATTGATAAACCCTAAACAACCATACTTGGTTACAACTAGTACCTAACAAACGGGGTTTGACAGGTGCGGTCCCACGGACGAAGCGCACCAAATTAGGGAAGCCCAAATGAAGCTCAAGTGAGGTTCCATCCCAAAACCAATTGATGGAAGGAAGAGTAGCTCACTAGGCTTATAAGTTAGGCATATTTTTCATGTACAGACGATGTGGGACAACTCACAAGTGTATATTCTAACAGTACCTATAAAACATCAGTAGCCATGAAAACACAGTAATCAAAGCTTTTTTGAAGCCTGCAGAATATCACAGAGCACTCCTGACATAGAAGATGGTGAGTCCCTTAAAGAATGCACCTGCAGTAGGATATCCTCATCTGGAATGGTGCACTTAATTTTCTTCCAATTTCTTGTACAAGCTCCAGCTAAAGCTCCTTTGACAGCAAGCATTATTGCACTCTGATTGTCTTCAACTCTCATTTCTTCATTCTGCCATTCTTCTACTGCCATCCCATCCATGTCTGCACAACACCTCCATTCCACTTTTCCTCCTGGAAGGCATAAGACACTGACTTGCAAGGATACAAGTCCTACCTTCTTGGAAAAATGCTTCCTTTTGTACTCAGTGTATGGTTCCACCAAAAGCTGCTTCTGCTCCTCAGTAGGGGAATGGATAAGTTCCAGCCAATCTTTCATAGCTCCTGCCACTACTACACTTTCTGTGAATGGTTGGTCCCTAAAGAGCTTGTTGTTCCTAGCTTTCAATTTGATAGGGATGTTTTCTGGAATGTTATAATTCATTTCGTAAACCGTGATTGTATAATATGTATTGTCAATTTAAATTTACTTGTATCTTATCATTTTCTTTTGTCCAAATAAATAAAAAAAATGCAAACTTTTATAAATGCTATCAAGTTAGAAGAATGAAAAGCATAAATTATCAAAATTTTGAAATTAGAAAGGCTTTTAAAAAGAAATGAAAACAAAGAGTGCAATGATGTAAATTGTTTGTTTGACAATAATGTCCATTGAGTAGGGTGGGCTGTGATGATAATTAGACAATCAATATGTAAAAGAAAAAGAAATTATAAAGTGGTGATTTGTAACTGAAAATGAAGGAAAAATTGTTGGCATTGCATTAAAAAGTTTTCCTCAAATTAT